ATCTTGAAATTTCCAGAGAAAGCTACAATGGGTGTTGATCAGAATCCATTCCCAAATGCTCAGGCCAACATGGTGAATGCCAACTTCCCAAGGCCAGATCAACCTCGACCAAGATTAGACTTGGGTGGTTCCGGAAAAGCAGCAGCTGAGAGAAGAGCAAGGGAGAACCTGATGAACTCTAAGGCGAAGGGTAAGGCCAAAATGTACCCAGAAGTGACAAAGGCTCTAGAAGAGAAAATCCCAATTATGGAAGAACCTCCCAAGGCTATTGTGCTATGCAGCCGATGTCAATGTGAGGTCTCAGTGGAGGTAGTTCTACCAAAACCCAAGGAGTCAGCCAGGGAACCGACTAAGGAGATGATCAAGGATCAAGCCCAGACAGGTAGACCAAAAAGTGCTGGGAAAAACAAGATTAAAAGTTCAGCCGGGAATTACGGTCCATATAGCCCAAGGGGCATGACGGAGACTAGGCCGAACAAACGGCCATTACATGAGTACCAAGATAGGTACGAGAGGCCGCGATATCAGCCTAAGAGAAGAAATCATCAGATGCCACTCAAATATGAAGATGTTGATCCCCTGAACCCAAGCCAAGATAAAAATAGAAGCATGTGGGTTTCGGTGGGAGAAGGAAAGAGTCGAGATGTGGCTTATGTATCAAGGCCTCGCCCATCTGATGGTACTAGTGTCCCAACTTTCAAGATGCCAAACACCAAGGCAGGACAATGGTATAAGAGTAGAGGTTCAAAGTTGCCTCCAATACCCTTGAGCAAAACTCAAACAAGAAGGGCTCAGAGACAATATGCTGCCACTTGTAAAGCGGAGTTTGAGTGGGCGGACGAGAGGCAAGCCCAACTTAACCGATTGGTCGACCTTCGAGAGAAGCTTCGACTAGAAGAGTTGGAGTTCGCCAAAGCTGATGCCGTGGCTTCGTTAGAGGCAGCAGCGGCCGAGGAGATGAAAATACATCGACAATGGGGGAATGGTCAAGTTGTGGTGACAGCCTTAAATGAGCCAATGTTGGAGTTGGAGGCTCATTTGACCGGAGCTTTTGAAGCAAGCAATCTCAAGGCGGAATCTAGCAAGCCAATGAGAGTGTTGGATGACGGACCATCAAAAGTTGAGAAGTTTAAAAAGATTCAACCCAAGGCCAATCCTTCGACCTCCAGGAAGCAAATACTAATTAAGGTGACATCACCACCCGTGGTCGAGGAGAAAAAAGAAAATAACCATGAAACGGTCGAGGATGTCAGAGGAAGACCCCAGACGACCGAAGATAAGCTGACAACGGAAGAGGACCAAGTCATGGTCGATGTCCAAACATCCGTAGTAGAAGAAAAGGCCGAACCAACGGCCAACGTAGAGACCGAAGAAGCTTCAGAAAACCTAGGAGGCGCCTTAGCCGATAATGAAGAACTTTATGGGGAGAATGAAGAGTATGGTGATGACGAATATTTTGAAGACCTCCCAGAAGAAGCTATGGAGCAACTAGCTAATGAGTGTAGGGAAGAGATTACCAAGTTGGAAAGTGAATTGAAGACAAATAAGACTAAGGTGAGGTTTGGGGACTTCGACGAGGTCGATGCTATGGTGGTCACACTTCCACTATTTTTTGAAGCTCAGCCAGGTCAACAAAACTCCATGGATGGAGATGTTTTTGACGAAGTCGAGTCCATGGTTCAGATGGGAGAACCAAAGGAAATCGAGGAAATTCAGGAGACTTCGAAGGCAGAGGTAGCTCGACCTCAGATTGTGATGCCGAATGCGGAGAAGAAAATGCCAGAGAAAGTGTGCTTTGAAATGCCCACCAAGAAGATGTCCTCCCATCTTAAACCTTTATACGTAAATGCTCACTTTGATGGGGTCCCAGTGAGCAGAGTTCAAGTTGACACGGGAGCCACGGTGAATATCCTCCCAGCTTCAGTGATGAGGAAATTGAAGAAAAGCTCAGAAGAATTA